GGTTAATAATTCACCGCATTCTTCATGGAACTAAAGCGGAAACTTTATGACGGACATGGGAATTTATTACGTCAAAGCAGGACTTTAATTACACTGAGGTTGAAAATTTATAATAAGGCGGGACTTTATGACACAATGGCGGGACTTTATGACATTGAACACTAGGGCGGGGCTTTATGATGATACATCCAAGGAATAATTTAATGTAATGATTACAGTAAACGCTCTGTCCAAGTGGCGAGTTGATCTAGCGTCTGACCTGCGACCATGGTGACGGACCCGCCCCACACACATGGTATGGCCTCAATGAGCCCATGTCTGCCTGCAAGGACATACCTCGCGCAGCTAAGACGAACGTCGCGCAGCTAAGACGGACGTCGCGCAGCTAAGACGGACGTCGCGCAGCTAAGACGGACGTCGCGCAGCTAAGACGGACGTCGCGCAGCTAAGACGGACGTCGCGCTGGCAAGACGGACGTCGCGTTACTAAACCGGACACCGTTTCATACGGACTATAGTGATCGTGTACACCGTTTCATACGGACTATAGTGATCGTGTACACCGCTTCCTACGGACTATAGTGATCGTGTACACCGCTTCATACGGACTATAGTGATCGTGTACACCGCTTCCTACGGACTATAGTGATCGTGTACACCGCTTCCTACGGACTAGTGATCGTATACACCGCTTCATACGGACTATAGTGATCGTGTACACCGCTTCATACGGACTATAGTGATCGTATACACCGCTTCATACGGACTATAGTGATCGTGTACACCGCTTCATACGGACTATAGTGATCGTGTACACCGCTTCATACGGACTATAGTGATCGTGTACACCGCTTCATACGGACTATAGTGATCGTGTACACCGCTTGACAATATGTCCAAGCTGGTGGCGACACCGCGACTCATTACATACTATAATGTGAGTGTTGGTGCGGCAGTCAGCCCCAGGTGCATATGGCAGGCAAACATTCCAGGGTTTCCGCCTTGCGTCTCGTATCAGGAAGAGTATGGCAAGAGGTATGGCAAGATCAAAGTATATGGTGCAAAAAAATAAATGTGTATGGTGTGAGCGGCTTGCAATATAGTGAGGTTAGTCGAGAGGGGTTTATTAGGGTGTTGGGCCGGCCACTGGTGAAGGTCGTCCTTGGTGTCTGCTGCTACAGATCCCCCTCCCAGATGGCAGCACCGGCTTCCCTGGGTCGTGACCTGGCCTTTCTACCTCTCGCTAGAGTCGTCAACATTGTTGTAGTAATAGAGAGAAGTCTACTGTGTTGCCTGGATGGCGTATATCAAAGTGACGATTGTGCAACCTGGCCAATTTGGTGCGAGGTCGTCACAACTGTGTGCCCAGGAAAGGGCGGAGCTGCCAGCTTGATACAATTATATGCCTTCTAGGGTGTGTGTGTGTGTGATTGACAGACTGCCGTGTGGGCACCCTCTCTCTCTCACACACACACACACACACACACACACACACACACACACACACACACACACACACACACACACACACACACACACACGGCCATGCGGGCGGTTCACCTCTCACCCTCTCTACTTATAAGGAGCCCGAGTACTTGTCGTGCCATCACGATGAGAACTGACTATACTATTACAGCTATTAATTACATCCTTGTCTACCGGAAATGAATAATTTAGTAGCGATGGTTAGCGTGCCACAGAGGCCTTCATCCCTTCACTTCCTGATGTGATCTTAACCACTCACCAATTCCACACACTCTACAAGTTCAAACTGTGATTGAAGATAGGAAATATTTTGTAATATTATGGATGGAATACTCTAGCTCAGGATAACACTTCAGTCTCCACAAGTGTTCTTATTAATATAACCTCTAGAGCAAAGGTCAAGCCTAAAAGCCAATTTCTCAGATGAAATTCTTAGGGCCATGTCAATGTCGGATGAAGATGGCGGGATGTCAACTCTAGTTGTAGGTATTTTCATTTTAAACATTGTTAATTGTCATAAACGTTTGTCTGGAAGTTTTTTTTTATTACTATTATTTATGGAAGTGACAGGTCTGAGACAGGAAGCGGTGAACGTGAGACGGTTTGAGACACCGCTGGTTAGACGGTGAACCGTTCCTTGAACCGCTGAGACAGTGAACCGCTGGTTAGACGGTGAACCGGCCGCGTGTATCCGCCAAGACTCGGTAATGTTCTTAAGGTTCTACTGACAATCACAACCTGGCATCACATCCGTGCATATCACTTCACTCTGGCAGCAAGCTTTATCCTGCTTCAGGCTCGCCTGGGATACATAGAATACAGGCCAAGGGGCTACAGGCTGATCTGGGACACCTAGGATACAGGCCAAGGGGCTACAAGCTGGTCTGGGATACGCAGGGTATAAGCAAAAAGGCTACAAGCTGGTCTGGGATACGTGCTCCTCAAAGGCCATCAAACGAGACTGATAACGAGGCAGGCCTCGCGGTCTGACGCAGGCAACAACAATAACTACTAGT